GTATGGGCCTGAGTATGCATATGCACACCATGTGCCTATGAGTGTCCGTGGAGGCCAGAAGAGGCAGCCAGTTCTCCTGAAACTGAAGATACAGGCGGTTTTGACCTGCCTGATGTAGGTGCTGGGAACTGAACTTGGGTCTTCTGCAAGAGCAGTAAGCACTCTTAACTGCTAAGTCATCTCTCCAGCCCCCTGAAATCTTATCCACCTTTGCCTAATTTCCATTGCATGGGTATGCAGGCATATATGTACATGTACACAAACATAAATGTGTTGTTCTCTTTTATGAGAGATTCAATCCCACGAATTTTTCTGTAAAAGAGTCCTCTGAATGTCATGTCAGATTGTGAGTCATCGGAACGGATAGTCTGTAGAAAAACCTTGTTCACAAGCTGAAGACAATTCACTTAACAGAAAGCTAATAAGTGTTCATTCTATTCCCAGCACTGTGTTAGGAAGTATCTGATAGGAGCCCCACTTTGAAGTTATTTGTAATCTGGCCAACCAGATGACATAGATACATCAAATTATGGAGGGATTAATCTAGTGCTAAAAGGTGTGACAGCATAAGAAGGAAGTTAGCGTGACCTGGAGCAATCAGTGAAACTTTACACGGGAGGCTGTACTGAGACCATAGGAGGGATGCCTGGTGAAGTAGCAAGGGTGGGGCTTGTAGTTAAAGCAAGGAAGGGATCAGGCAAGCATGGGCCTAAGCCCTCGCCTGACTTTCCTCTCTCCCTGACTTGCAACATCACCTCCCTAAGCTTTAGATACATCATCTCTCAAGTCAGGAAGGACATAGGACATAGGGTCCTGGAGAGAATTAAGTGAGATAATGCTTATGAAGTGCTTGACCCTGTAGTTGGCAACCACTAGGATAATGTCCTTTGCTAGAGAGGGGTACTGGGAGAGTGAAAAACAGCTCAGTTGGAGATACATTTAGTGACAGTGAAGTCTCCATACAGGCCCAAGATTCAAATCAGGAGCCCTGGGCAAGTTAGAGATGAAGCCACAGACAGGTGAGCTCTTTGTGGGAGAACTAAGCAAGAACAGAGGGAACAAGGCTCTGGAAACATGTGCACTCCATCCACCGTGCAGATATGATCAATCCACTCCATTCCCATGTGCTTCATGCTCTATGTAAGAAAATGATTTTGTCATGGTGTTTCACATCTGTAATCCTACTACTCAGGAGGCTGAGGAAGAAAAATAGCTAGTTTCAGGCCAGCCTGGGCTATAGAATGAGATTCTACATCAAACACACACACACACACACACACACACACACACACACACACACACACACAGCTTTAATCCCAGCACTCAGGAAGCAGAGGCAGGTGAGTTTAAGTCCAGCCTGGTCTACATAGCAAGTTCCATGCCAGTTGGAGCTACAGGGAGACCCTGTCTCAAAAATACCAAAAAAAAAAAAAAAAAAAAAACCCAAACCTTTCTAAGTTGACAGCAACATGTCTGGTGAACCTTTACAAATATTTTTTTTTACTCAAAAGAAGGAAGAGAAAAAGGAGAAGGAGGAGGAGGAGGAGGAGGAGGAAGAGAAGGGGGGAAAAGGGAAAGGAAGAGGAGGAGGAGTGGGAGGAGGAGGAGGAGACAAAAGAACAAGAGGAGGAAGAGGAAAAGGAGGAAGAGGAGGAAATATTCTTCCCCTCTGTGGCTTCATTCCGTCCCACTATAATAACCTGTCCTCCTCCTCAGTCTTCTTATAGGCCATGATGAAGACAAGTGAGAATGGATCAGTGCAAATCTATCACTATACTCTGTCAAGAAGTGAAGTACTTAAAGTATAGTGCTTGCCAGAAGTCTGGTACTTAAAGTATAGTGCCTAGCCATTCTGACAGTACTGTGTTGAAGTCAGAAATTATTAGAGTGGGCATCATTTATTTACCCATCCACCCAGCAAGTCTCTGTACCGTAGGCTTTGACTTGTTATTGTTAATGACTGTATAATGGTAAAGATGAGTAGCACAATCTCTGCCCTCAGGAAGACAGACTCATAAACAAATCATTACAAGCCTTGTGTTAGGGTGGAAAAGGGCCCATTAGGCCACAGCTATCAGCAATTGACACCAGCACTGGCACTCCAAGTGGCCGTTGCTGAACTCATTAGTCAGAGTGAAGAAGGGAGGAGGCTGCTCTTGCCTGCCACCCTGCCTTGGCACACTCTCTTGTTGTGAATGGCATCCACCCTGCTGACCACACTTTTAGCATAAATGTGCCCACACAGCACTCCTCCCTTGCCTCACTCCTATCTCATGTTTCTTCAGTGACAGCTTTTCCATCTTCTCCTCTGAGCATGTCCTGTGTTACCTCCACCTTCCACCCATTTATCAGTCCTGCCCACTGCCTGCCCTAGTTTTTTGGCTGTGTTCAGACCTGCCTCTCAAGGGAGAATTCAGGGTTTCCCTTTGGGCTTCTCTCGTCTACAACCCAATGCACATTCAGAGTGTCCCCCCTCCCTTGGCCTAAAGAGGCTTGGCCAAACTGCTAAGGAGCCCAGCCAAGACTGATGGCTCAAACCTGTGATCCCAGCCAGTAGGGAGGTTGAAGTGGGAGGATCATAGGTTCAAGACCTGCCTGAACTACAGAGTGAGTTGAAGGTCAACCTGAGCAACTTAGCAAGACACTGCCTTAAGACTTAAAACAAAAAAAGGCTGGAGCTATGGCCCAGTGGTAATGTGCTTACTTAGCTTGTGTGAGGCTGCTGAGTTCAATTCCCAGAACCACAAAAAATAATAGAGAAGGTTGAGCTTGGTAGCATGTACCTGTATACTCAAGACCAGCCTGGGCGATGCAGTGACTTTGTCTAAAAAGAAAAAAAAATAGAGTGTAAACTAAAATCTATAGGCAACTAAATATTTAAACTAAAAAATTGAAGTACTTTCTAAAATGACAGCAGCATGGCTGGAAAACCTTTACAAATATCTGGTTTTCACTCAGTCATTTTACCTCTTTGAATCTTTCCCAAGGAATGAGAAGGGATTGATCTATAAAGACATTCATTACCATTATTTACAACAGGAAAAATATTGGAAACCCACTAAATGTCTAAAAGTAAGCATGGGGCTGGAGAGATGGCTCAGAAGTTAAGAGCACATCTTGGTTGCTCTTACAGAGGACCTGGGTTTGGTTCCCAGCACCCACATGGTGACTAACAACCATCCATAACTCTAGTTCTGGGGGATCTGATGCCCTCTTAGTCTCCGTGGGCATTGCATGACACAGGTACACTTACATACATGCAGTCAAAACACTCATACATATAAAAAATTATTAACTACTAGAAATCTCTTAGTTATATAATAACACAGGGAGATGTCTGAGATGTATAAAGCACTAGAATGCCAAGCTGTGGGAATAGTACCGATGACTATACCTGACATTGAGTATAGCTTAGCAGTGAAACCACAACTCAAGAGCCCTGTGTTACTAGCTGTGTGACTTTGGTCAAAGTAGCAAATTGTTCTTAGCCTCTGTTGTCAAAATGGAAATAAAAGAGGCTGGAAGGATGTCTCAGCAGTAAAATCTATACTTGCTGCTCTTTCAGAGGACCTGAATTCGGTTCCTAGAATCCACAACTGTCTGTAACTCCAGCTCCAAGGAATTCGATGCCCTCTTCTGGCCTCTACTGGCAACTGCACTCATGTCTATATACCCCAACACACATACATAATTTAAAAATAAAATAAAGCTTTTAAAAATGGAAATAATATAATCAGTAATAATAATATTAGCAGGGACTATGAAGCATTATCCTAAGATAGGTGAAACACTCTTCACTGAGCCTCACTGCTCACTAGTAATTATTCTTCTTGAATTGGGTAAGTTAGCACTGCTGGCCTTGGAACAGGCATCCCCAGGGCAGTTGGTGGAAAGCTGGGATGAGAGTTACCACTTACCTAAAAAGAGCATAGACAGGAGATGCAGCTGAGGACAAAGAAAGAAGTTGGTTGGCTAAAGAAACAGATACCCCTTGGGAATAAAGACAACATCCTACCTAGTGCTGGATAGCTTTAGAATCAACTTGACACCCCTGGGTTGAGGGAGCATCAATTGGGGAATTTCCTGGCCTGTGGCCATGTCTGTGGGGCATCTTCTTGATTGTTGAGTGATGTAGGAGGGCCTAGCCCACTGTGAGTGGGCAGGTGGGCCTGTGTTGCATAAGAAGCAGGCTGAGCAGGGGCCGGGGAAGCAAGCCAGTAAGCAGAGTTCCTCCCTGGCCTGAGCTCTGGCTCCTGCCTCCAGGTTCCTATCCCTGAGTTCTTACCTTGGGCTCCCTGATGAACTGTGACCCAGAAGATGTAAGCTAAATAAGCCCTTTCCTCCCCAAGTTGGTATTGGACAGAGTGTTTTGTCACAGCAATGGAGAAACAAACTAGGACATACCTCTTTCCAAGAATTTCTTTACTAAGTACACACTTATTTTCTAAGCTTTTGTTACATAGTTTTCTTTCCTTCCTGACTTGATCTGGAATGCTTTCCTAAAGAGGTTTCCCCAATAATATTCCCAAAGAATAAAAGGGAACTCCGAGTCACAGAAACCTCTGGCAGAGAATCTGACAGTCTCAGAAATAATCCTAATGACAAGAAGAAATAGAATCCCAATTATTTGTTTGAAGATGGAGGCTTAAGGCCAGGACAGAAGTGAGTCTGAGTCAGGTCTCTACATCTTGCCAACAGAGAGAGGTGTGCCCCACCCTGCTGGCATGAGCAGCAGATCTGACAACTTGCTAGACTTTCTGTTGGCTCTGGCAAAGCTTCTCAGAGAAATCCAGCATCCTAACCTTTACACAGTCATTCTATGAGCTCAGGAACTGGGGAGAGAGATGGAATCATCACCAGCCCATCATCCCAGACAGCGCCTGTCTGGTACTTTAGGTGCCAAATAAATGCTTTCACTAAATCTAGGGCCCAAGCCCAGGGAGTCCCATGGATGGTTTCAGGATCCACAGCCCACTGGAGGTTTCTCTAACTTTTTGCAGTGATGAGGTGCCTGGGGATCCCCACCCGTGTGATCACCAACTTTGACTCCGGCCATGACACAGACGGGAACCTGATTATAGATGAGTATTATGACAGCACAGGCAGGATTTTGGAGAATATGAAGAAGGATACCGTCTGGTGAGAGACAACCACTCAATCTATTTCTTGGGCCACAAATCTGAGCCAAACCCCACAGGCAGGAAATAGGGCAGGACTATGCACATAGCCTGTGGTTTGCTCATATCCTCCTGCTTCTTGACAACTTCAGGGCTGGGTATTTCCATCCTAAGGCTGGGAGGTAGCAGAAAATAAAACAGCTATGGGTTTACAATTCTCACATCATCAGAGCTCTTGGGTTGGGTCTGAGGTTCCCCTTTGTCACCTCCTTCATCTAATAACCTATGTCTCTGACTACAGAGGGCCTGAAGTTTTACTTATAGGTGTGTCAGAGACTATGACTTCTTCTATGGGACACACACACACACACACGCACACACACGCATGCACGCACGCACGCACGAACACACATACAGACCATGAGGACCTTTTTGAGAGAGCATGAAGGAGTTTTAACTTCAGTAGACTAGAAGTCTTCACTTTATTCAGGGTCAGCAGAAAGAAGCTCTTTTCTGGAGGCAAATGGAGGCCCACGAGGAAGATCTGTTTACTGTTCACCCATAGATGCTTGAAGCCCTGTGTGTCTGTCTTTCTCTAACAGTTTAAGCAGGATACCCTCTGCCTTAACTGTGTTTAATAATCTTATGGCGTTTAGAACCACCGGGAAAAGACCACCAAACCTAATTCAAACTTTAATTGGTCAAATTTATTAGGGCTATAGCCTGCTGTGGTCCCTTAGTCAGATTCAGGACACACGGCCACGAGGGGAGGGTAAAACTAGCTTATAAAGGAAAAAAACATAAAAATGATAAGAATCCCTCACACATGAGTAATACCAGGTGGTCCTGAGTAGCTTTTGTTAGTCATTTTTCTTAACAGATGTATAGAGACCTTGACAGTAAGGAACTTTCTTCTTATTATTGTTATTTAGTTCTCTTGGCTAGGCAAGAAGCACAGCTGCAGTGCCTGGGAGGTGACACTTTCCTTTCAAGGTCAGCTACTTCAAAGAAAACACTCTTCTAAGGGAAAGCAACTAAGTTTGGACCTGACCTTGAAGCTGGCCATTTTTCTAGCTTTTAAAATTTAAAGTGGCTGTTTTATACAAAATGAAGAAAATGAAGTTACTTTGGCTATTACAATTTGGGGAACTCCATTTGGGGCCATTACAATACCAACTCCTCTGGCTTCTTCCTCAGGAATTTCCATGTATGGAATGAGTGCTGGATGGCACGTAAGGACCTCCCTCCTGGATATGGAGGCTGGCAGGTGCTGGATGCCACACCTCAGGAAACCAGCAATGGTGAGGCTCTCCAGAGAGCAGTCAGGACCCACTCCCACAGACCTGCCCCAGCCCCCTGTCTAGCCCACCACAAACTACCTACCACAGTTTTCCTCCTGGTTCTCCCTCAGGTCTCTACTGCTGCGGTCCTGCCTCTGTCAGAGCAATCAAAGAAGGAGAAGTCGATCTGAACTTCGACACACGCTTTGCATTTTCCATGGTCAATGCAGACTGCATGTCCTGGCTAGTTTATGGAGGGAAGGAGCAGAAACTTCACCAGGATACAGCTGCTGTTGGTAACTTTATCAGCACTAAGAGCATCCAGAGTGACGAGCGGGATGACATCACAGAGAGCTACAAGTATGAAGAAGGTACAACCAAATAGCATCACTCAGAGCCCATGTTCTGGGGAACCATGCCCTGCCCTACCCCTAAAAATCAAAGGGCATCTTCAGGTCAGGACCAAGGTCCACTGTCTGCTCAGTCACTCAGTTGTAAGGACCCAGTTAGGGTGTCCCCACTGCTTCACTTTCTGTGTCCACTATCAACCCACACCCCACAGACCAGAGTGCCCACCATAATACGTTCATGTCTACTGGAGAGCCATTACCCAGGCATTCTGCTAACAAAGCATGAATTCCCCGGCATCCCCCAAAGTTCAGCCTCCTACTGAAGATGTCAGTAATCACTTAGCAAATTCTCTTATATAGTTTAATTTATTTTATTGACCTTTTTGTTTAAGTGATGGTGTTTGATTGTTTAGGAGTCAGACTGGTTCACTAGCTAATATCCACATTGAAATATAAGACCAGGGTTCACCTTTATATGCACTCTATGGGGTCAACAGAGCCAAAGAATGATTTGAAGTTGACAGTCCTGGCAGGGGCTTCTTATCAAAACCATCAGGGCCAAAGGAGAGATCAAGTTGGTCAGGTATAGATGAACTGCTAGAAACTGAGAACCACTACCTAGTAGGTGAGCTTCTAGGAAGTCAAGCAAAAATATCCAGTCACGAGGACTAGAAACAGGACGAGGAGGCACAGTTGAGATCTGGCAGGAAGAAGTCAGGGTGGGTGGAGGGCCAGGGAGCTGAATGATTGCTGGGTGTGCTGGTGAGTGGGTGTCTATGGTTTGCATATGTGGCCTTCCAGGCAGACACAGAGAAGCTCTGGAATCCCAGCCTCAGAAACCGAGGCAAGTTCAATCCACCCCCTTCACATCCAGATTCCACATCTGTGGATTCAACCAACTGTGGATGGAACACACTGGGGCGGGGGCAGGGGCGGGGGGAATGCATCTATACTGAGCGTGCATGAGCTTTTCCCTTGTCATTATTCCTTAAGCAGTCCAGTAAACTAGCTATCTATATTGTCTTGGGTATTATAGGTAATTGAGAGATGAAGTATACTGGACAATGGGCAAATAGCACACCGTTTATGTAAGGGACTTTTATTTCCATAGATCTGGACATGTTTGAGGATTCTGAAACCAGTACCCTGTGGATATCAAGAGATGACTGTATTGAACACATAGCCCAGTGGTATCATCCTGTTCCCGTTGACTTACTTGAGTTGCCTCAATAAGAGCCATTCCAAGTGAGGAAGTGATACAGTGAAGGGGAGGGAGCCAAGCAGATTATTGAGCCTGTAGGCACTGTAGCATGCTGACACTTACTTCTGGTGGGAACTCTGGAAAGATGAATAATAATTTAGCATAAAAGAATTCCAAATTTATTGCTTAGCTGAAATTCAAATTAAATGGCCACCTATTTTTAATTTTTTTAAAATTTACTTATTTTTATTTGATGTGTATGAGTATTTTACCTGTATGTTTATAAGTGCATCCATATCATGCAATACCCAAAGAGGCTGGAAAAGGGTGTTGGATCCCCAGGAGCTGGAGTTAAGGACAGTGATTAGTTGACATGTGGGTGTTGGGAACTGAACCCAGGTCCTCTGCAAGAGTAGTCTGTGTTCATAACTGCTGAGCCATCTCTCCGATCCCAGCCATGTATTTTTATTTGCTAAATCTGGCATCCAGATTTAGTGATATGTAGACTAACACTACAAATTTATCAGTTCTCTGTGGTAAAGAATTTCAAACTTCTTTGGCCTCATTTTTAAGATGGAAGTTTCATGATGATTATTGATACTGTGAAGTAAATAGCACACCAAAACTTCTTGCCGCAAGTGTAACTTAGTGCCCATTTGTTATAATATAGTTCTATTGTATAGTTCTATTCAAAATTAATTTGAATTTCAGCTAAGCAATAAATTTGGAATTCTTTTATGCTATATGTCCACTCATCCCAGACAGGGAACCAATGTCAGACCAAAGTAAGGATACCACCAAAGTCCAACTTGGTGAACTCATGAGTTGTTAGGATTACTTACAGGTGCAGAAATGACCCAAAGACAACTTTATCATCAAAAGCCCACCCTGGCATGGGTGACAGCTCATCAAAGCTGGAAATGTGCACAATTTGCCCGCAGCTTGGAGAATGTCTTTCCAGGCAGCTTGGCTGATCTGCCTCTCCCATTCAGCTCAGCTGATCTGAGAGTGTCTCTCAGCAGTCCTTACTGTTTATATATGCTTAGGGCTGGCGGGACCTAGAGAATCTGGCCAGTTTTGGAGACTTCCTGAAGAGATTGAGTCATTAACTTCTTGAGCTTAATGAACTTCCCTGTAGGATGGAATGTTTCACCTCTCCTTAGAACATCCCGTGTCCTAATGAGCTTCTCTCCAAGATGGAATGCTTTATCTCAGAGGAAATTGCTACATAACAGTCCAGTTAGTGCTGCCTGTTGGAATTTTGATTGATCTTGTTGGCTTGATTTTATGTAGGTCTTGTGCAGGTATCTATAGCTGCAGTGAATTCATGAGTACAACAGCCACGTCATTAATAGAAGAAACATTTCAGAGCAATCCTCCCCATTCTCCAGCTCTGACATTCTTTCCACTCCATCTGCCATGATGTTCCCTGGGTCTTGGCAGGGGTCTGGAGTTGATACAGATGTCCCATTTAGGGCTGAGCACTCAGTAGTAACTTATTCTCAGCACTCTGACCAGTTTGGAAGTCTCTGTATTGATGCCCACTACAGAAAGAAGCCTCTCTGGCCAAGCAGCACTAATCTATGGGTATAAACATAAATATTTAGAAAGCAGTTTGATGACATGTCTATTTAGCAAAACATTAATAATAGAGTTCCCACTTAGGGCTTATGACCTGTCAAGCCATGAACTTTTGACCAGCATGAATTCCCTCCTGTGGAGCAGGCCTCAAATCCAAACAGAAAATTGTTGGTTATCCTCCCAACCTTCATGGCACTATTGCACCAGTGGGCACATCTTGCCTGGCAAGTTAGTATTGTAGCATTCAGAGTCCAGTGCTGGGTAATACCACTGATGTCTTTTCTCCCCCAGCAACCTGCATAGCACACCTTCTGTCACTATGAAAGCTACCCCGCAGGGAGGAAGTTTTCAGGTCAGTTCCAGCTTGATTTCTCCATACCCTGCAACCCAAGTGTGCTGTGTCTTTAGCAATAGGGTCTTGTCATCTAATTATGGTGGGCAACCAAGAGCAATGGCAATAGCCTGTGTTGTTCTGGGGGAGAGTCTATTTGGCCAGCAACATAGAGGGAGATATCCCATGCCTGGCACTGAAATCTTCATTAACAGCCTGTACCTTCTGGGGGAGGCATTGTCTACTCATGCAGGGCACCTGTATTCAAATTCTTTGTTTTTAATTACTTTATTTTATTTTTTAATTTTATGTGTATATTGCCTACATGTGTGTAAGTGCACCCATGTTGTGCAATACTCTCAGAGGTCAGAAGAGGACGTCAGATTCCCCTGGAACTGGAGTTATAGACGGTCGTTAGCCGCCATGTGGGTGCTGGGAATAGAACCCAGGTCCTCTGCAAGAGCAGCCAGTGCTCTCAACCACTGAGTCATCTCTCTAGCCCCTTAATTTTTTTAGCTAGCTTACAAAGTAGTGCATTTCCATAGATTTTTTTTCATGCAACCTTAGCTTTGGTTAATCTATCCCCTCATTCACTCCTCTCCCCATCCCTCATTCCCTCTCACACCTTCAAACTCCAGTATTCTGCCCTCTATTTTCATATCTCATGTGTTCTGCTATGTCTTCACCAGAGGCCTCTTCCTGCTTTTATTTTTTAAACTTTAATATTGTGTGTGTGTGTGTGTGTGTGTGTGTGTGTGTGTGTGTGTGTGTGTGTACGTATTTACCATAGTACACATATGGAAGTCTGATGACAAGTCTATGAAATCAGCTTTCTCTTTCAACCTTTATGTGGGTTCCAGGGATCAAACTCAGATCACCAGGCTTATACAACAAGTGCTTTCACACATTGAGGCATCTCACCACCCATCTGAAAACAGTCATTTGAAATTCTTCCTAAGAGTTCTCCAATACTGAATATCAACTGTGTGTTGCTATTCCATCAAGTCGAGGCATAGTTTCCTGAAAGCTCTTGAAGCTTGTTAGTGTCAAATATCATCTGTGCATTGAAGGATCAGGTATTTATTCCAGTCTTCCTACTCTGACTTTATTTGTGCCTACCTTTCCAAAAATTCTGAGTTGCCTACCTATTTTCTCTGAGCTTGTATTCACTTCCACTATTTAGTGCTGGACAGTGTTCAGGTCTAGATTTGCCAATAATCTGCTGCAGGTCTGCTGTCGTTATTTCAGTACTAGAAGGCAATCCAAGCCTAAGTGTATTGGTTATTTTTTTCATTGCTATAATCAAACACTTATGAAAAACAACTTAAAGGGGGGAATAACTTAGTAATCAGGCATCTCTCTAGTAGTTGGCATGAACTCAGCAGAGCCTGACTCTTGGAAAGTTCTTGATGAATAAGAGAGCATACTCATTGAAAGTGAAGGCTCTAATCTAATCAGTCCTCACAGCATTGGTGGAGGTGCTGAGGGTGGGGTGTTCAGCTAGGCTTACCTCCTAGGTCAGCCTGTCCCACAGATAATCCTGTATTCTATCCTCCTAGGTTCCCTTCAAGAGAGGCAGGTGTTTCTAAAGGCTCTGCAGAAGCTAAAGGATGGAAGGTCTCAAGGTCCTCACCGAGCAGACACGACACCCTTCAGTTCCATGCCACCAGGGCAGGACAACCCTCGGAGCCTGGATACACCTTCCCTTCAACCCAGTGACGTTATGCAGGTCTCCCTGAAATTTGAGCTACTCGACCTACCCAACATGGGCCAGGACATAAACTTTGTCCTGTTGGCTCTCAATATGTCACCTCAGTTCAAGGATCTCAAAGTAAACCTGAGTGCCCAGTCCCTGTTGCATGATGGCAGCCCCCTGACCCCATTCTGGCAGGACATAGCATTCATCACATTGTTTCCTCAAGAAGGTACGGGCTCTGGATATGGGCATGGGACACACTGTGTGCAGAGAATCAGTTATGTCACGGCATCGATGTGGGGGGCATATAGCTGGGACACTGTTTTTCCTGATGCTTCCTCCAGAACATAGTCCTCCTCCTCCTCTTCCCTCCTCTTCCTTTTCTCTCCCTCCTTCCCTTTCTTCCTCTCTCTGGCCTCTTTTACTATCTCTGAGGAAAGTAGCCTGTTTACTGGGGAAATCCAGAGCTTTGGAGTCATCCAGACCTTGGCTAGAATTTCAACCTTCCAAAGCAGAATGATTCTTTGGGCAAGCTATTTCACCTGTCTTAACTGGAGCTTCTTCATCAGAAAAGTTAATGCCTGCTTTAGGAAGGCTTGGTACATACTGGCTCCCTCTTCTAAGGAAGAACTAGCAGATCCAACTCAGGCCTGACTGGTCTTCTCAGCTTCTCCCACTTCCTTATTGTCTTCTCCCCCTAGAAAAGACCTACCCTTGTAAAATCCTCTACTCTCAGTACAACCAGTATCTGTCGACAGACAAGCTAATCCGCATCAGTGCCCTGGGCGAAGAGAAGAGCACTCCTGAGAAAATCCTGGTGAACAAGATCATCACCTTGACTTTCCCAGGCATCGTGATTAATGTAGGCAAAGAATGGTTCCTGAAAATGGTCTGGGGGCCCTCTTGGCTCTGGATGGGAGGAGGTGGAGTCCTCTGAGAGGGTAGCTGGACCTGCTCAGAAGAATGGCCCTTTCTTTGCTTCTTCTGGTACCCCCCAGGAGAGAGAAATTTATTCAGAGGTCTTCATCTTCTATACCACTAGAAGCCTTATGTGTGGGTCCTTGAGCAGCAGCCAAGGTCTCAGAGCCCCTTTCTTGTGCTACTTCCTGTGTGGGTGACAACACAGGAGGTATTCCCAGGGTCAGCTTGAAGAAACTATTTACTAGAGGGCTCAGATGGAGGGAGCCCACCTCAAGGTCAGCTCAGATTTGATGTGTCATTTCCTGCCTGTGCATCCCTGGGGAAGCCCCTAGGCCTGCCTCTTGGACTGTCTGTCAGAAGGGATTAGAGAAAAGGGCCTCTGAGGACCCCTTCTGCTCTGACATTCTGTGCTGAGTGGGAAGGTGTCCAGGGCTCCTTCCTTCTAATGCCGTCTCCCTAGGCCCAACCCATCTCCTGGATCCTGCCAACTGAGCCCTCAGAGTCCCTGGTGCTGCAACTCAAAGGCTCTGATAGTCTTCTATAGCATCTTAGCAAAGGAGCAATACTTTTGAGAAAAGTGACAGAAAGAGAAAAAGGGCCTTGAGTGTCCAGGGGTAGAAGTTGTGAGAAGGCAAATACATGCGAAACCAAAGTAGGTAAAAGCTAGGTAGTAAATTTTGTTATGTAGATTCCTTAGTGCCCTCTCCAGGTTGATAAAGGACTGAAGTTGTCTCAGTGGTCCTTCTTGGTAGAAGGAAGGGGTGGGGAGTCATCTTTGTAAATTTATGTCCTTTCTTTAGGTAAAATGGAGGGAGGTCAGAGAGCGTGTTCCTGTGTCTACTTCTTATTGTTTTAACTCAAAATAGTCCTTAGGCCAAAGTGGCCTATTTGGGGGTGGCATATTCTGCCATCTTACAAATAGTGCTACCTGTTAGCATTCAGTGACTTGGGGATGGCAACTAATTCCTTGCTCCTTCCCCTGCTCTGGGTCTGTTTAGGTTCTAGGAACAGCCTTTGTGAATCAGCCACTCACTATCCAGGTGATATTTTCAAACCCACTCTCAGAGCCAGTTGAGGACTGTGTGCTGACCTTGGAAGGAAGCGGCCTCTTTAAGAAGCAACAGAGAATCCTGTGAGTGCTGGGAGCTCGGCCTCCCCTCTCATCTTATCCTGCTCTTAGCACGATCCTTCTTTCTGCACAAAGACTCATGGGCCAGACTCAGGAAACTGGAGAACAGAGACCAGAAGTAGAAGGAAAATGGCTTTGGGGTTTTCTGACATTCCTCCTTCTCTGTTGCAGCGTTGGAGTCCTCAAGCCCCATCACAAAGCCAGCATCACTCTGAAGACAGTCCCTTTTAAGAGTGGCCAAAGGCAGATCCAAGCTAATCTGAGGAGCAACAAGTTTAAGGACATCAAGGGTTACAAGAATGTATATGTAGACTTTGGGTTATAAATTCTGGAACAATATGCCAGATGTGTGGACTTTAAACTTCAGGAAAAAGAGCAAGTAGAAATCTCTGCTGCCTTTCTCCCAATACTAAAGTCTTCACCAGACTCTGACACAAGCAGCAGAGAGAGATGCCAGGGATGAGTAGTTACCTGGACTCTTTGCATGACTTCCCAGGACTCTGTTCAGCACCCAGTGATTCCATGGTGTCCACATAGAAATGTCATTTGGCACAGAGGGCAAGAGATACTGGTTGGACTTGGCTGTGATTTACTGTCCCTCAGATGCCAAAGAAAGACTGGCTTAGCAGCTCACTGTTGCTCTGTTATTGTGGTAGCTAATCCCCCCAGTACCAATAAACGTCAGTCCTGCTCTGTCTCCTTCACCTAATGTAATAGTCACTTTCATTTCAGAAACTCCTACCTGCTCCTGAGTTGCTGGGGAGTATCTTATTGTTTCAATGTCTGGGCCCATTCACTCATTCGAGAAGTGTTTACTGAGTATCTAGTGTATGTCAGGTACTGTTCTGAGTGTAAGTGACAAGACAGTAAATCAAGCAAAGGCCCTGCCATCACAGAACTTACATGGGGGCGGGGAAGATGGCCAATAAACATCTCAACAGATGCCTGTCATCATGATCCAGGTAGAAAGGCCAAAAATCCAGAGGTATCTTCATACACCATGTACTGTCTTTGTTTCTTGAAGAAAAGAAAAACAAAAGTCCTGGGAGATCTCTTGCCCTTGGCCTTCCCTCGAATTCCATCCCATATGGCATTGAAGTGATTCTTCTGTCCTCACAGTCCCAGCATCTGCATTCAAAGGCCTCCAGTGCATCTGTGGTCTCAGAAGCTGGGTTGACTGGCATTTAGGAGACAAAAGTCAACTGAATAATACGACAAGGTAGATATTTCACGGGGAACAAAATAGTCTCAGAGTTCTGTTAGTTGCAGTTTGTGTTTATGGTCATTCAAACCCCACCTTCTCTGGGCCCTACTAAACATAAAACAACTCCAATCATGACCTCCTTTCAGATGCACCTGCTTTCCCATGGTACTTCCAAAGTCCTTTGTATTGTACAGTGTGATGCTTCTGTCCTCCAGGCACTCTACATGACTGAGACAGCTGTCCTATTAAATGTACATACATTAAATAAAGAAGTTAAAGACATCCATTATACATAAACAAAAGAGTCAGTGTTGTTAATCAGAGGGAAAGAAGGGTGTGGTGGGCATTACCTAGCAGGTTGATTGTCCTGTTGGAGAGTCATCTGAGAACTGGGAGCTGGTGGCACGGCTGAAAGTAACCTACAATTATTCTATCCTATAATTATTATGTGTCAATCATAAGAAATCATTTAAGGAAAACACTGTAGAGAGGCATATCAGACAGAGACAGTGAATTCTGAAGGACTTGGAAATTTTCAGTCACCACACCCTCAGTCTCTTTCCTGTGTCTTCTCTGTAACACCATATTCAACAACTCACTCAACAAATAATTAGGGGTTCCTTCTAGGGACAAGGCCTTAAGCGAGGCAGGCACTGAGGATATGAAAAGGACCAGAACCTGCACTCAAGGAGCTCAAGTGTAGTGGATGAGAATGAACACTACACAGGATAATATTGTAAAACATTTAAAATAAATTTTTTTTTTACAGGACTGGAGAGACGGCTCAGTGGTTAAGAGCACTGATTGCTCTTGCAGAGGTTCTGAGTTTGATCCCCAGTACCCATATGGCACCTAACAACTGTCCAGTTCCAGGGGATTCAATACCCTCTTCTGACCCCTGTGGGCATTGTACATACAGGTTCACTTACACACATGCAGGCAATACATGTGTATACATAAAAATAATAAAATATTAAAAATTTTAACATTTATTTTGTGTATGTGTACGTGGACATATGTGTGCCATGTGTGCATATGGAAGTTAAAAGACAACTTGTGGGAGTCAGTTCTCTACTTCCACCATATGAGTCTGGAAATCAAATTCAGATCATCAACCTTGGTGAAGGTAGATCTGCAGGTGGCAGTCTAAGGAATTTGGACCACTGTCTTCAGGGTTTGGTTTCTTCTCCATCTTGGATCCCAGTCCCTCTGCCTGCCATGTCAGGGCTCAGACCTGATTCTACTTTGCGGAGCTGAGCAGTCTTCCTGTGATTTAACAAGCACTCAAGGGCGAATGGCTTTCCACCCTAGTCTGTCACAGTAGTTTGCAATTCCCATCAGAGTCATTCGTTTGAGTCAAGTCCTTCCCTGACTGCAAAGGTTGTTTTCACTGGTTCATTTAATGGTTACTGAGTGCCTATGTGCTGAATGTTCTAGATCTGGGGAATAAAGTAGTAAAGAAAGTAAGGTTATTCCCATACGCATCTCCAGCCACCAACCCCCAGGCCTATCCTCCAATCCCAAAGGAATTCAATACAACTTTCGTCTTACAAAGCCCAGTACAGATAAGGGATTTTGAAAGAATTCCTTTCTCAGTGTTATGTGTAGCTCTGTGTTGGTGGCTTTCTCAGCTGAGGTGCTCTGCTTTCTTACAGCCCTAGGTGGGCATGTGACTTATAGTAGATATTCCACTCTTATCCAAGGACTCAAGTTGTCTGAAGATGGTTTCAGTTCCTTGCAAAGGACTTGTTTGGTTCAGAGAGATGAGATGACTTGTTTAAGATCACCCAGCAAAGTCTGACTCCGGATTCCCATTGTGCTATGCTGCCCAGTGTTCCACCAGGTCTGCCCTTGCTTCTAAAGATATCTTTCTTAGTGCCATAAGGCAGTTGAGGAAACGACAGGGGCTCTTGTTCTGAACCTCGTGAATAGCTAGAGAGGCTGGGACTGGCTGTGTGTGTAGGGGCAACAGCAAGTGTAGACCTTGTTGCCGAGGTGCCCTTCCTCAGACCTCTGGCCCTATGGTGTTGCAGAGATAGAAGAGAGAATGGAACCCCAAAGGCTAAGCAGGAAGCAGTTTATTGAACTGGTAAAGTGGACCAGAGAGAGATATTCCTCTAAAGCAAAACCTTGAGCAAAGAAAAATTCAGCTTTCCTTCCCTCTGGCTTTTATGTTTCTTGTAGATAACAGTACACATTTTGATTGATGTTTTTTAAAACACTTTAAGAGGATACAAAATGCCTGGAATGGTAGGAGAGGGCTTGTATAGGAGGCATGCAGAATTGCACACACACACAGATATCATTCATACCCTGTGCTATTATAATAGGCCGTTGCCAAGCTTTTCCCATCGCCATCTTCCCACTGACCAGCAAGAAAGCAACTCATATGTGATATGTAACATCTACTTATCTCTGAAGTCTCACAGGAAGCACAGACAAAAAGAACTCAATTGCCAAGTGTTGATATCAGACAACCAGATTTCATCTGCCTCCTCGAAATGGGGCTTGGCTTTGACTACGTGAGAGCGAGGAGGGGAAGCAGGCTGCTAGCCTAGTGGCCTAGCAAGAGTGAGCAGGCCTGTTAGAGCTGGGACCATGAATGAACCTGTAGGTATGGGAGAGAGTTCTGTATTCAATGTCAGGCTCTAGATGACGCTAATGTCCTCCAAAGAATATGCTCTCTGACCACCAGTTTAAAAGGGAGAAAGAGCTGTAATTGAGGCTGGTTTAAAACTGGTTTCAGTTTCTTAGAGGCTTGGTCCATTTCTATTTGCTGTTCTCTCTGGGGCCATAGCCCCTCTGAGGTGTCAGTCAAAAGCTGAGGTGTTTGCTGGGCTCCTTCATCCTGGGAGGGCCTGGAACTCCCACCTCAGCAGAAGATCTCAGCTTCTCAGGATCTCATTTGCCAATCACGAATCAGCGATGTCCATGGAAAAGCAGCAGTGGGGGTCAAGATCACTTCTGTGCTCTCTTCTCCCATGATCTTTTTTTGTTTATTTTGAGACAGGGTCTCCCTGTAGCCCCAGCTGGCCTGGAACTTTCTATGTAGACTAGAATGACTGGATCTCCGAGAGATCTGTCTGCCTCTGCTTCCTGAATGTCTCTGCCTCCTGAATGTTGGGAATAAAGGCGTGCACCACCATACCCAGCTTCTCTCAAGATCTTAACTCTGCCAATCGTAGCTTTGATGCCTTCAAACAGGTATTTTAATATTCTTTTGTAGTTTAATATTTTTATTCAGCCTTGCTAGTTGGTCTCAACAGGAGACATTTCAACAAGCTAGTCTTCAGAGTCTAGAAGCAGAACTCAGTAAGAGATTTTAAAAGAAGACTGAATAGGAAGAGGTGATTTGATCTGGCTAATGTGTTATCCAATCACAAACAGGGATTTGACCTGTTTGAATCTAGGCTTTACCATAAGCTGTGAGATATTAGGAAAGCATCAAAGCACAGTATATGGACAGCATGTGTCAGTAGGTTATGCTCTGCATCTTTTAGCCTCGTTCGTGGTTCTGTTTGGACTGTCTCTATTTTTTTCATTGTTGGCATTATTCTTTTTTTAAAATTTTTAATAACTACATGATTACAAGAAGCATTTCATTATACCTTTAATATATTCAGTAACACACCCCAGAGCAAGAGTACATCTCTTTCACAAGTGGCTGTAAGTTTCTAGGTTCACAGTTGAATTAATACAGTTATACAATATTGAACCAGTATAAGCCCTGTAAGACATAAAATTGAATGAGTTTTTAACCTTTAAAAAAGATCTCCATTTCATTTTAGAATATATTGTTCCTTGCAGAAACACTCATTGTTTTTGCTACTAACACTGAGATGCTGGCGCATGCGTCTCTAATCTGTATGTATCTGTTACTAGTCATAATCGGTTGTACTTGGATCCTTGGTGCCTGTGTATGTCTAAAAAGTCATCAAGCAGAATTCAACGGTATTGTCCACCACGTCTATCAATCAGCATGACACAAACCTCCATGCCTTCTCCTCAAACATAATACATCTTTTCAAAAATTTGTTGATTTTTTTAGTGTGTGTGTGAATGTGGGGGGGGGGTATCACACCGAACATCCTAAATCATCTCATTCGAGTATACACCCACTTTCCAGATAGCCACCTCCCATAGCCTCC